AAGGCCGGCGGCCCAAAAACACAAATCCAAGGACTAGTGTTGACTAAGGACACAGCATAGGCCAAAGAATACTCATGTTGAGTACTGACAAAGAGAACATAGCGAAGGGCTCGAAAAACCCCGGTGGCACAACCCATCACAATGCAAGGATAGAGCATTGCAAACCCAAAGGCCAGCGCTGCAAGAGAGGCAACGCACCACAGTGACATGGATGCAACCAAAAGAAGGAAGACCGCAGGCGAAAGAGCTCGACCCCAAGAAAAGGTCAAGGAGCAAAGACGTGGAAGAACCAAGGCGCGAAAAAGAAGCCAGACGAACAGCGCTGGCATCCACCATCAGAGCGAGCCCTCCTGTCGAGGGTATTTGGGGGCAGGGGTATCTCCTGTCGGATCCCGAGTGCGGCTCTGAGAGGCCTGCAGCAGTTGCCTGAGTGACGAGGAAATTTCCTCAAACCTTGCATCAACTTTACTTTCAACTCTGACCTGCCTCTGCTCGATCTGGTCAAATCGCTCCTCAAGCTTGGTGATGCGGTGGTTCTCAGCGACATATGCAGAAGCCGCAGCAAATGGTCCCGCGGGGGGGGAACCAGGAGCAGGGACACTGGCAGTAGATGGCTTTGACGCTACTGATTCTTGGCAACCCTCGGCTGGGGTGACAAGCTCTCCTCAACCAACAGGATCTCGAAAGTGCTGCCATTAATGTCTAATGTAAAGCGAAGAACCGATGGTTTCTTATCGGAAGCAAGACTCCAGCTGTAAACGCCCCCGGTGCGACAAGCACGAGTGGGGACAGGCGCATGGCTTGTTGCCTGAAGCGTCGACGACGCGACGAAGCACGGTTCGATGGCAGGCGGCCATCCGCTGGAATTGAAGGGAAACCTTGGCACGACATGCGTGTTTTCCTTCGTTAGCCGAGGGTCTGTGGGGAGGACAGCCCTGCGGATGCTTGCGATGTTGTCATTCCATGCTCTGACTGCAAGACCTCTGCGCGTAAGCGCAATGCCAGCGAAACCTGAGGTGTTCTGAATCACAATGCGAATTTCTGCCAAGTCACGGCGGCCAAAACTTTGGCACCACTGAGAGGTCATCATGGCTATGTTGCTTGTCGAGGTAGTCACGAAGAAGAACTGCTTGCGCGCCACTGGAGGCCAGAATGGCCGGGCGTTGCTTCATGGGGGACCTGATGATACACTGCCATTGCACTTCATGCTTCTCTGCAGTTGGGTGTTTACCCACTCTCATGGCGTAGAACGCGAGGGAATCTTTCAGGTCCGGATGTAGGGCAAACACATTGCATCGAATAAAGTGCAAAGGTGCGGCCTTCACCAAATCCAGATCTTGAGAAGACAGCAGACGGGTGTCCACCTCCGCAACAATTTCGGTAACCTCAGTGGCAGTGAGCGAAACGGAAGGCTTCGGAAGGCTGTAGGTGATGGTGCCATGTAGGGGCAACAAGAGCACGAGTCGCTTGTACTCTGACCCAAGAATGGGCCCATGAGCCTGGCTGCAAGGTCTCCAAAGGTCTGCTTCTCCGCGTTGGGGAGGATGACAACAGCTGGCCCACTTGGTGCTGAACGAATCAAATCCTGAACGCTGGATTTGGTGGCTAGCACAGCTCCAGCCTTCCTGGCACTCATCTGCAACTTGTGTGTTTGATCCAGCATGTTGCCTTTGGCATCAAGCACAGGATGTTTATCTGGCAGCAACAGATCTTCCCATTTCATGAGGACATCTCCATGGCGAATGCGTGAGTCATCGGACCACAGCCCTCCATTCTGGCGCTCAATCGTGAAAGCGCAGACCCCAATGTGGAGCTGATCTGCACAGGTTGTTGAGTCAAGCAAGCAACTCCGATGGCACCACTGGCTCGGATGAAGCCAAACCAAGGCTTGTCCTCACTTTCATCCTAGGGGGCAAGAAAGAAGGCACATGTGCTTGGCTCATTCACCTTAGAGATGGTCAGGCGCAAACGTTTGCTCAAGGGTTCCTGCAGCCCAGTTTCCGGCAAACACAGCGATGTCACAGGAACAAGACCGGTAAAGGACATAGCAGGGGTGCGAAAGGCAAAGAGGGCGGGGACACCATGATTGCCTGCAAGGCACTCCTCAGTTGAGACAAGGGCTTGGCGAAAGGCCTCTGTGCAGGCAATGGCATCAAAATCCAAAGGGCATGGGTTCACAGCTTGTCCTGGAAAGGGCACCGGCATGCTCGAATGCAGCGTGGGAGAAATCACACTCACAGTCTTGACTTGGCAGTTCTCCAGCGGGAAATTGCTCTCTTTCTGTTGGGCCCTCATGCAAACATCAAGGAAGGGTCTCCCATCGATGCAAACTTGGCAATGTTGCACAATGTTGGCAAAGTCATGCAAAGAGTAACTGTAGCAACGCTTGAAGTCTTCGTTGCGGCAGAAGATATGACTGCGAACGTCAAACTGCCATGAAAAAATCACGCAGATCTGTGACACGACCCAAACTGATGGCAAGTAGATCAGTTTGGTATTGCCGAGAGTGCGATGCGTGATGTGCCAAGCAATACAATCCTCAGCAAGGGGAGTGGCAAACCTATCACCATGAATGACAAAGCTCGAAAAGCTGGTAAGTCGCCAAGCCCAACAGCGCAGGACAAGGTCAGCAACAGGAGCATCCCATGACAAAATGGCTTTGAGGGCGACGCACAAGGTGAGAAAGGCCTGCGGGACCGAAATGGCATTGCCTACCTGTCTGAAGGCCAACACGATCTTAGACGACGCAACGATGGACTCCGTGGCACCCAGCAAGGCGCAGTGTGCAAAAGGGTCGATGAAGAAGAAGTCCTTGCCATCGCTGTCCAGCATCGCAAAGATGCCTTTCTCAAGCAAATGCTGCTTTGCCAGGTTGTGCTGGTTGCCATACGACGCGCAAAGCGTAGGCAGTGCATCATAGGGGTCCTGAAGTCTCACTCGAAGGACGCGCTGGGTTGAGGCGTCAGTTGGAATGCCTTTCCGCTTGGCCGGAGGCAGCATCAGAACATCCCCGTAAATGCGCATCTCGGACTGAGACAGACGCAACTGGTCTTTGAGTGGATTAGGCGCATGAAACCTGCAATGCTGTGCAGACCATGGAACTAATCTATCAGCACGAATCGGGAGGGAAGGTCCCTCGGCAGGAGTGAAGACATCTTTGCGCACCCAAACCCCTAGCCATCTTGACCTGTGCACATGCGGCAATTGGTGGAAGGGTACCACGCATTGCCAAGCACATGAATACCCACCCCACTCAAGCAAAGCCTCCAGCAGAGCAAAATGGGCATGTGATGCCACCTCGTCAACGCATTCGAAAGCCAGCAGGTGCGGTTGCCCCGCAATGGACATCCTAATTGCATCCACGAAAGCCCACCCTTGGGGGCAAGCAATGCCAGCCGATCTACCGCCGCGGGACCATGGTTGGCACGGTGGTGATGCAGTGTAACACATGTTCACCTGTGGAGCCAACAAATGGAAAATGGTGTGATCGAATACTTGCGTGCAAATGCATGCGGATGCGACTCGAAAGCTCTTCTGGGAAGCAAGGGTCCTACGTGAGCAGGTTTCCGGTAGCGCTCCATCCAGATTTGGGTGACCTCTGCATCAAAATCAACACAAACCTGGGCGCCAGAACGAAAGGCGCTGACATGCTTGGATAGCTGGTTGACAGCTTGTCCCCAGCCATTGAAGGCGCCCGGGAATAGGTGCACAAAGTCCCAAGCCGCTGAAACATCAAAGACTGGTCGTTTCGCAAGTGTCACTTGACTATCAGCCTTCCACGATGTAGTCGACATTTGCTGAATGCGGCCACAGCAAGCAATCACATCACCAACATGGAACGAAAGGGCTCTGTCCTGCAAACCAGGAATTGAGATCGTCGATGGCGCAGCAGGTTCCAAGAGGAACCCCTTCTTGGCAGCGAAGTGACCTAAATCAATCATGAGTGCATCAGAGAGGGAACCAGTGAAGACTCCCGCCAGAACAGCTACGTCATCCCAAAGAACACCTGGTCCGTCATGTAGACCTGCAAAAATACCCTTGGCCTTTGCAGCCCAATGGGGATCACGCAGAGACCCAATCAACTCATCTACAACATCCATGGCGCGAGGCAACAAAAGGCTCAAGCTCAAAGTGCCACAGGAGCAGGTGGCAGGTCAAGCTGTGGCCTGCCTCTGTGGACGATCCACGCCTTCTTCGCAGAAGGTCGCGAGATCCGCGGGCCCCCGGCGGCCGTGAAGCGAGTGGCAGTTCGAGCCAAACGCCTCTAGTAGCTTCTTGTTCCTAGTAGTAGGGCCAGGAGCTACTAGTAGCGTCCTTGCTCCTGATTTGAAGGAAGGGGAGTAGCATCTATTCTTGTGAGAAGCCACTGCCGGATTATTGGGATTGTCGCAAGAACCAGCACAGGCAGTGCCTCAAGCAGTTTCTCACGGAACAGTTGAAAAAGGCTGGATATGCTTTGTACAGTGGGTTTGCTGGGTGGCCTTGTACCAATTTGTTCACATCACATTATATTCCTTGAATCACTTGAATCCCAACACATCCTGACAACCTTTTCAGATGGATTTGCTCATGCTCTTTCGTGACTTGTTGGATGCTTTGGGCTTGGCCCTCAAGGTGTTTATTGAAGTTTGGCCAAAAAGAACCACACATCCCATTGGCCCAGCGGGCTCCCTGAGGCGAGGATTTGGCGCGCCTAGCGCTGTCACAGGCTTGGCTGCAAACCCACAATGATTCATCAATACACGGATACAATACATTATTTGTCACGTTAGTTGTCAGGAAGAGTTGCTGGCTGACAACCAGACAGCCCAAGTGAAGGGTTTTCTGTAGCAAAAGATCCGCACAGCGCTTGTGTTTGTGGACTGTGGATTGACCATCATCCTTGAGAGCTTTCTGCCCTCGAGGCTCAAGCTGGGTAAACGCCAGCATGTTCGACCTACATGAATATTCTCCCTCACACGACATCACCTTCATCAGCGTACAATTCTACCGAAAGTGAAAGCACCGTTGCGGCCCCGTAACCTACATTTTCGTGGGAGCTCCATGATGCGCTCTCCGATAGACTTGGTCAGTTCTAGAGGCAGTCAATTGTGGCAATGTTTGGCTTGTGTTTTGACCTGGTTGGCGATGCAACTTGGATGTGGGTTGAGCGCGAGGCTAAAGCTGCGGACAATGGCGGTACCATTACCTCCGTGCGGAACTTGGATTATTCGCCCATCGTGTGAAAGTGTTGCTGGGACATTTTGTACCGCGAGCCCGCGAATGCTGATGGTCTCGGTTGTCGCTTCTCCTTTGCAGAGTTTCTAGGCCGTCAATTCCAACATATTGATACTAATTGATACCACTTGACTCTTCAAGCGGAGATCATGCCATTGTCCTTTGAAGTATGTTCCTGTCTCAGACCGCCTGTTCCTGGCCATGTATCTGTATCTTGTCGGATGCGGCCCTTGCTGGTGGGTGAGGCGAGGTGAGGCAGTCACAAAATGAAACGCCTTGTGCTCATGACGAGCAATGAAGCGGTGAGAAAAAAACTGGAAACACATTGAATGAACAAGCGCAAGTACTTCAAGTACCCTTCACTTTCCTTTGAAACGGTGCAGTGCGTCCTTTGCTGATACACTTTTGGTTACGCGCATTTGCAGTTTGATAGCTCCAATGCAACTGTGTGCAGGTCTCAAGCGGTGTGGCTCGAGCACCTTGGGTGCTTACAAACCAGCCCGTGTCCCAAACTGGCTGTATATATATATACACATATAATCATATACGTATACATATACATATACATATACATATGATGCCTTACCCTTTGCAAGTTTGTCGATGCATGTTCCTCTATCACAGGTATATAAGCAACATGTTTTGTTTCTTTGTGTACCTGCTCAGAGACTTTGCAATTCACGTCCACATTGTGCTTTCAGGTCTATCACTTTGAAAGAGCGCAGTATTTCTCGAGTGGACTCAGACTTCAATTCTGACGGGCTAAAATCGTTGGACCCTGAGCAATCCCGTTGTCGAAATAGGTCTAGTATGGTCAATCTTCAAGAACAGCGAGAGAGAGAGAGATAGATAGATAGAGAGAGAGAGAGAGAGAGAGAGAGGGGGGAAGGAAGAAAAGACAGGAAAAACAGAAGGACAAAGCAGAAAGAAAGAGAGGAAGAAAGAGAGAGAGAGAGAGAGAAAATGAATGAGAGAAAGAGAGAGAGAGAGACAGAGACAGAGACAGAGACAGAGACAGAGACACGGAGAGAGACAGAGAGAGAGAGAGAGAGACAGAGACAGAGACAGAGACAGAGAGAGAGAGAGAGAGAGATGAGAAAGGGAGAAAGGGAGAAAGGGAGAAAGAGAGGAAGAGAGGAAGAGAGGAAGAGAGAGAAAAAAAGAGAGAGAGAAGGAGAGAAAGAGAGAAAGAGAGAGAGAGAGAATGAAAGAAAGAACGAAATAAAGACAAAAAAAATAAATACACAAATGAATAAATAAATAAGTAAATAAATAAATAAGTAAATAAATAAATTTAAGGGCTGCCGCCCCTGCCGCCGACCCCGGATTCTCAGGTCCGGCTTTTCCTGAGACGTTGTTACCCTTGTGCATGGGCATGCCCGTACAAGCGCGTGAGCATATATACCGCGGTGACTTTAAAATCCTGCGCGGTTGTCATGGGATTGTGTGCGGCTGGACCACAGCAACAGACGCGCAAGAAACCGCTCAGAAAAACGTCGTCTGGAATAAGCCTCCGGCGTATGTGTTTGTGCAATTTCACACTCGCACGGAGTGGCAGCTCCCTGGAATCAACGAAAAAAATGTGTTTCCGGTCGCACTAGCACGCAAGCCGTGGTACTTGGACATGGGCCGCACAAATCCCAAACTAAAAGTAACGCGGACTCAGTTCCCACTTGCGCCTGATTTCGCAGGAACAACTCACGCTCTACAAGGCTGCGCTGCAGAACACGGTGCCATTGTGGATATTCCAGCTAACCCCGATCCAATTGCAGTCTACGTGGGACTGACACGTTGCCGTGCCCGGGAAAAGCTTATGATCTACCGTCCTTTTCCTTTGGCGCCTCTGCAGGCTGGTTTGCCATTGGGACGGCAGCTGCTGCTGGACGTCTGGAAACAACAACAAATTGACTGGGACTCCCTACGCAAAAAATACCTCGATGAGAGGCTGTGTATGGAATGCAAGGAAAGCAAACGGAAAGACGGCTTCACAAAGGGCCAGTGGCGCCACGACGACTACCGCGTCTGCAAGGAGTGCACATCGCAAAAACGTGATGCAGGTACTCCGTACCGTTGCAGCCAATGTGGTCTCTGGCACGCCGCTGGCCACTTCCTGTCAAAGCATCTGAGTCCACGCTGGGCTTCCTGCCGCGTCTGTTTGTCGTGCGAAGCAAAGAAGCAGTGTGTTGTGTGCTTGAAAACTCTAACCAAAGAATTTTTCAGCGTTGCCACGTGGCAACGAAAAAAAGGGAACCGGCGAAAGTGCCTCACCTGTCAACGCAAATCCCGCGGCTCTTGGACTTGCGCACACTGTCAACAGCGAAAGCCACAGAAGCAATACAAGACTTATCTACGCCAGCATCCATCCAGACAAAATGGGCGTCAGGTATGTGACGTGTGTTACCCAACCAAGGCACAGCAGCTCAAACGCCAGTACATCGCTGCCAAAAGCCACGCTCGTCTAGCATCACTGCGCAAACGACGTCACCGAGAACAAATCGTGCAAGAAATCAAAGACCTCATCGCAAGTAAAGTCCAAGAACGCAAATGTCTGGCTCCGACGGACTCCAGCACCCAGGCAGCCACCGCCGCCAAGCAGCCCAAGCGAAGCGCAAGCGTCTTGGCACCACACACAAAACCAATCGAGCCACCGTGGCACACAGTCGTGCACAGCCGTCGTCAAACCAAGCGTCGAGACCCCAAATACAATCTCTCCGAGCCACAAACCAAAAAAGTCAAACGCATCACAACAAGCACACAGCCACGCATGCCCACCACTGGCCGCGCTCTCAAACCAGAGGCGTCCGTAGCGAATCGTCCACGGCCGAGCGAGGCTGCCATCAAGCCGACGATATTGTATGAATACATATGTCCATTCTGTCAGTGTTCCTGCCACAGCGCAGTACGAACTGGCCAAATCGACCATCGAGCCGCATGCAACCGCCAATTTCGCGTGCTAGATGGCGTGGTTGCTGGTCGCCAACACGAACACAAGTGTCCGCAATGTAGTGCACATGTCTGGTCGACTAAGCTGAGTGGACGAATTCGAGTCAAACATGACAAGCCTAACGGTAAGCCATGCCCGTGCGAAGCGTGGAACAGTGCCGTGTAGAACACACCAAAAAAAAATTCGTCGGACGCTCTGGATCCCTAGAAAAAAGACAATGTGCTAGCATTTTCCACCACTAGCCAGGCTCCCAAAAAGCATCTGAAACCACCCCTTCGCCACGGCTTTAACCCATTGAGTTCTGCTCCAAACGAGCCCCAATTCCTCGGA